CCTTCTTCTCCTCCTCCTCCTCTTCTCCTCCTCCTCCTCCTCCTCTTCCTCTTCTCCTCCTTCTCCTCCTCCTTCTCCTTCTCCTCCTCCTCTTTTCCTTCTCCTTCTCCTTCTCCTTCTTCTCCTCCTCCTCCTCTTCTCCTTCTCCTCCTCCTCCTCCTCCTCCTTCTCCTTCTCCTCCTTCTCCTCCTTCTCCTCCTTCTCCTCCTTCTCCTCCTTCTCTTTGCAAGGAGACCCAGAACTTACCCAGTAACACCCAGCCCTTTCTCAGGTCATGGTCTCAGATTTCAGGGTCCTCTTCTCACCTGGTGTCCCTGCTCTCTCCTCCAGGTACATAAAAGTGAAGTTTTGGAGAGTGGTGGTTGGCATCACGCAGCTCTTAGAGGAGGACCCCGAGGCTCAGATCGTGTACATCGAGAGGCTGGTGGAGCACGAAAACTACAACCGCATCGGCTACCTGAACGACATTGCCTTGATTGAGCTCAACCGGTCGGTGGTCTGCAATGACCGCATCCAGCTGGCTTGCTTGCCAGACAGCAGCCTGTCCATCTCTCAGCTAAGCCATTGCTACTTCACTGGCTGGGGCAGCACGCATGCAAACAGTGAGAAACCCGGGGTGCCTCCGCTTTCGGAATCGAGGGCTCGCGGGGACCCCACGCACTCAGAGCCAAGCCCCCAGCTCTGCTGTCGTCTCGGGAATGGGTTCCTCCCTCTAAGCTGCGGAGTCTTGTGAGCTAAAATTCTGCTTTGTGAGCTACTGGCATGAAAGTTGTGAGCGAGCCGTTTGGCCACTGCGGAAATTAGTTTCCTCTGGAGCCTTCCTTCTTGAGCTAAGGCAAAAAGGCGCAAGCCGGAGGCTAAAAAACTGTGAGCCAGCTCACATTAACTCAGCTTAGAGGGAACACTGGTCCCCGACCCTTTTGATCCCACGGGCCCCTTTTGGGATTCGGGCGCAGCGTCGTCATGGACACAGCCACAAAATGGCTGCTGCAAAACGGCTGCTGCAGGAGGCAGAGCCGGCCACACAAAATGGCCGCCACTGCTCACCTTCAGTCACTGAGGGAAAATCCTGGTGCTGTGGTGGTGGTGGGGAAACTGCTGCCAAAGCAGCATTTAAAATATATATATATATATATGCACAGCCAATCAATGGTCTCTCTAAGCTGTGGAGTCTTGTGAACAAAAACTCTGCTTTGTGAGGTACTGGGGCATTAAAGTTGTGAGCGAGCGATTTGGCTACTGCATAAATTAGTTTGCTCTGCTGCTATCCTTCCTGAGCTGAGACAAAAATGTGTGAGCCGGAGGCTAAGTTCTGTGAGCTAGCTCGCACTAACTCAGCTTAGAGGGAACACTGCAGGCAATCATTCCTCCAGTGGCCAATCAAAAACCTCGCTGTGTAAAAGGCCTACCTGGGGGTGGGGGCAGCACACCACGTCTCTCCAGGAAGAAGAATATGGTCGTTGATGATAGCACTCCCTGTAGAAACCTGACTGTGCTAATGGCCTACAACTGGGTTGCCAGCCTCAAGGCGGGGCCTGGAGATCTCCCGCTTTGATGACTGATCTCCAGCTGACAGAGAGCAGCTCCCCTGGAGAAAATGGCTGCTTTCGAGGGTGGACTGTATGGCCCCTCCCCTCCCCAGACCCTGGCCTCTCCTGGATCCACCCCCGAAGTCTCCAGGTATTTTCCAAGCCAGACCTGGCAACCCTATCCATGATGGGATTGCTCTTATGGAGGGATTATTCTCATCTGCCTTCTCGACTGTAGAGCTTTTAGGATCGGGGAGGGGAACCTTCTTCCACTGACCCCAAACATTCTCCCAGTTCAACCAAAGGAATTCGTTTGGATTATAAAATCAGTGGCTAATTCCCTGTGAAGAGTGGCTTTCCATCGTTGCTCATTCACTCACAGACTTTCCACCTTTCCCCCCGGACATAAGGGCCTGGGCTCATCAGTTCTGATCCCACCTTCATCGCCAGTGTTAAATCCCAGGTTCAAGACGCATTGCCGTGAACTTTTATTAAGTGATTTCAGGAACAAGGCTAAGACTTCAGGGCAACAGACCTGTTTAAATAGCATGCAAAAACCACCCCCAACATACACACCCCACTCCCAACGAAAGGTTATTGACATAACATAAGTTAGTGATTGGTCACTTCCAGAGTCCTGGTGGGCTATTGCTCTAGAGCGTCAAGCTCAGCCAGTCTCTGGTAGGTAGTCCTGGAATGTTCCAACCAAAATACATAACAAGTTCCATGCCGTCTGAAGCTCCATTGCCCCTGTTTGGAGCAATTCCACACTATTTATTTATTTATTCCATTTATACCCTGCCCTCCCCGGGAACCGGCTCAGGGCAGCTCACACTAGTCGGTACCCAGTACCATAAAACCATATACAAAAGTTGAAACATTTTAAACATTTAAAACGATCAAATAATCAAAGTGCTAGTGATAATAATTGTCTTTCAATAAGTAAGATGGCATGCTATATAGTATACAAGCAGTTGTTTCCAATTCAGTGATCTTTCGGCATCGCGCGATGGTATGGCTCAATCTCCAGGCTGGGGGTCAACCCATAGCCACAGATGTTTGTGGTAGTGGTGTGGCAGCTCCTAATTGAAAGCCTGGTGGAAGAGCTCCGTCTTGCAGGCCCTGCGGAACTGTAAAAGATCCCGCAGGGCCCTGATCTCTTCCGAGAGCTCATTCTACCAGTATGGAGCCACCACTGAGAAGGCCCTGGCCCTGGTGGCAGCGAGCCTGGCTTCTCTAGGGCCTGGGATGCTCAGTTGATGTTGTGGCCCCGATTGTAGCGCTCTCTGGAGTATATATGGGGAAAGGCAGTCCCTCAGGGAGCAGGGAGGATACAAACTTCTTCTTTTCTCTGCCTGCTACTCATAGAGAACATCATGAAGCTTGAAATCATGCAGGAGGTCAAAGTCAGCCTGTTGGACACTGCGGCTTGCAACAGCAGCCGCTGGTATTTCAAGCGTATAAGAGACAACAACTTGTGCGCCCTGCCCGAGACGGGAAGCAAGGAGGCCTGCCAGGTAGGTGGGCGGGCTCCAGGGGGTTGTTTCTCATAGCTCCGGGCTGGCAAACAAGGACGGAGGAAGTGGGCTGCTCAGCGCCTCTGGCCCTGTTTTCCTGGGAGTTCAGATCATCCGGTTGTGAAAACATGGTTGCTGAAGAGGGCGATGGTCCAGGAAGTGTAACGGGAAGGGACACCTGATTCACTGCAATGCTTCAGAAATCCCCGAAACTCTATGGTAAAACCGGGGAGGGGCCGTGGCTTGGTGATCCAATATCTGCTGGGCATGCAGAAGGTCCCGGGTTCAATCCCCGGTGGCATCTCCAGGCACGAGGTGATTGGAAAGACCTCCACCTGAGACCCCGGAGAGCTGTCAAGAGGGGCTGTGGCTCAGTGGCAGAGCCTCTGCTTGGCATGCAGGAGGTCCCAGGTTCAATCCCCGGCATCCCCAGTTCGAAAGGACCAGGCAGGAGGTGATGGGAAAAGCCTATCTCCGCCTGAGACTCTGGAGAGCTGTAAAGAGGGGCTGTGGCTCAGTGGTAAAGCTTCTGCTTGGCACACAGAAGGTCCCAGCTTCAATCCCCGGCATCTCCAGTTTAAAAGGATCAGGCAGGAGGTAATGGGAAAGACCTCCGCCTGAGACCCTGGAGAGCTGCAAAGAGGGGCCTTGGCTCAGTGGTAAAGCTTCTGCTTGGCACACAGAAGATCCCAGGTTCAATCCCCGGCACTTCCAGTTAGAAAAGGACCAGGCTGTAAGTGATGGGAAAGACCTCCGCCTGAGACCCTGGAGAGCTGCAAAGAGGGGCCCTGGCTCAGTGGCAGAGCCTCTGCTTGGCATGCAGAAGGTCCCAGGTTCAATCCCAGCCATCTCCAGGTAAAAAGGACCAGGCAGGACGTGATGGGAAAGACCTCTGCCTGAGACCCTGGAGAGCTGAAGAGGGGCTGTGGCTCAGTGGCAGAGCCTCTGCTTGGCATGCAGAAGGTCCCAGGTTCAATCCCCAGCATCTCCAGTTAAAAAGGACCAGGCAGGAGGTGATGGGAAAGACCTTTGCCTGAGACCCTGGAGAGAGCCGCTGCCAGTCTGAGGAAACAAGACTGACCTTGACAGACCAAGGGTCCGATTCAGTAGGAGGCAGCTTCACAATTTTGTGTAGATATGTTCATGCAGGGGATGGCTGGAGCGTCCTGACATGACTTCCAGTTCTGAGACTGATGCCTTGCCTTGCCCTGCCCCCGGGCTCCGGGGGGACTGGAAGCAAAAAACAAAGCAAGCCAAAAGACCCCCGCCCCCTGCATTGCCCCTGAATGGGCTGACTTGGGAGTGACAGGGTGTGCCCCCCCCCACCTCCAGCTGCATCGAGAGCCAAACCTCCAGTTTTTCCCCGCTTGCATCGGAGGAAGGGAGCTTCACATCTCGAAAACTCCTTCCCTAAAATATCTTGTTGGTCTGCTGGACTCAAATCTTGTGGGTTGCCTGGTAAAAGTGAGCTGTTCCACTGCAGACCAACACACACAGATGTTGGAAGTCCCAATGCAATGTCCCCTGCTTCAGATCTCCAGACTTTGTGGCAAGAGAGGCTAGATCAGGGGTGTCAAACATGCGGCCTGGGGGCCAGATCGGGCCCCTGGAGGGCTTCCATCAGGCTCACAGTGGAACTTGCCATCTCCTACTTCCAGTTCTGTTGCTGCATCATAGCTTGCTTTGCCAGACTCTCTCAATCACTTGGCCATTTCATGTTTTCCCCTGGGTCCTAGACTCAAAACTCTGAGCATGAGATTTCTGTGGTGCATGTCGATAAAACAAAAGTAGGTTTGCAGCTTACAGAGCTAATGTTTTAAGCATGTTTTTATTTTAAGTAAAAAAACCCACCCCTGTTGTGTTTGTGTGTTTATAAAGTTTATATCTCCGCTACCTGGCATTACATTTTATGACACATATGGCCCGGCCCAACAAGGTCTCATTTATGTCAGATCCGGCCCTTATAACAGATGAGATCGATACCCCTGGGCTAGATAGCTAGACAGGCACACTGACCTTTCTTCCTGTCTTTACTCTTCTGCCACTGTCCCCTTTGAAACGCAGATTGTGTTCCCAGGGACGATTTCCCCTTCCGTTCTCTCACTCACTTGAAGACAAGCTCTCTCCCCCTCCACACAGAAAGAGAGAGAGATACGGTCCTCTCTTGGCACCGTGAGGCAGATGGGCCTCTCGCCATCCGCCTCCATCCTTTAGCTAGTAAGTTAGAACTCTATCATGTCCCTGCTCTTTCCTATCCAAAGTGTACTTCTCAAATCAAGAAAGGAGCATTTCTCTTCTAAATTTGCAATGTGGCTCTGTGCAGCTTTGTAAGCTGAGTAACCTTGTATAGTGATGCTCCTTTGAGCACATTTTAGGAAGGATGTTGACAAGCTCGAGCGTGTCCAGAAGAGGGCAACCGGGATGGTGAGAGGGTTGGAACCCGAGTCAGGAGGAAAGGCTGAAAGAGTTGGGTATGTTTAGCCTGGGAAAGAGAAGGCTTAGAGGGGACATGATTGCAGTCTTCGAGTATCTGAAGGGCTATCATGTAGAAGGTGGAGCGGATCTATTCTCTCTTGCTCCAGAATGCAAGACTAGATCGAATGGGTGGGAATTACAAGGGAGTCGTTACCGGCAAAATCTCAGGAGAAACTTCCTAAGTGTAAGAGTGGTTGAGCAGTGGAACAGTCTGCCTCGGGAGGTGCTGGAGGCTCCTTCGCTGGACGTTTTCCAAGCGGAGGCTGGACGACCCTCTTTCTGGGATGTTGTAGGACTATCTTTCGGCTCTGCTCCTACAGAGTGCAGGGGGTTGGACTAGATGACCTGCAAGATCCCTTCCAACCCTTAACATTCTGTGATTCTATGATCCTGCATTTGTGGCTTTATTTAAGCACCCTGCTAACCAGTGATAACTGGGCTAAGTACACCAGTCCACCCCAATAACAGTGGCCCTCTGAAACGCAGTGTGTGTGTGTGTGTTTTTGTGAATCCCAGCAGCAACGCCTCCTTCTCACGCTTTTGTCCCTCCCTTTTCTTGCTCCAGGGGGCTGGTGGCGGCCCCCTCATGTGCTGGGAGGGGCGGTCTGAACGCTTCTGGGTCGTCGGCATCAACAGCTGGTGGAGCGGCTGCACTGAGATAAGGATGCCCAGCGTCTTCATCTCCACTCAGCGCTTCGCCTCCTGGATCCTGAGGGTCACTCGGGAGGTGTCCCAGCACAAGCCCAGCGCTGAGCCTCAAACCTGGCCCCAGCCCAGACCCAGCACTCAGCGGCCTCAAACCTGGCCCCAGCCCAGACCCAGCACTCAGCTGCCTCAAAACTGGACCCCGTCCACATCCAGGCCGATACCCGTGCCCAGGCCCACGGGCTGGTTCAGGCCCGCGTCCAGGCCGAGTTTCAGCTGGGGTCGGCCGAACTACATGCCCTCGGCGCAGCCGCAGCTGCCAACTCGGCGACCGGGAACTTCCGTTAGCAGTGGGGTTTCTAGGCCTCCGTACAGACCCTGGTTCCAGCAGCGACCCCAGTCCCTGCCTGCTTCCCAAGCCGCTTACAACTGGCACCAGGGGCTGCCCGGCTCCAGTGTCGTTTCCAGGAGGCCAAGGACCCGGCCACCATACCAGGGGCAGAACCAGGGTCAGGCCTGGGGAAGGCTGTGACCTGTCTCCATTACGTGGCATTGAGGCGCCTGAAAGACAGGACGACGCTGGCTCTACTCTCGAGGGCCCCAGGCGAGAGTCAGTCTGCGTTTAAACCCACCTGAGAAACAACGGAAGATTCACCAAAACAACAGAAGCTTTCTTTACTCTGGCCATAGTCCGGTTGGGACGGCAGCTCGGCCCCGTGAGCGTCCCGGCACCTCTTCTCCGGCGGGGGCATCTTGCAAAACATACCGTCCAACTCTGCAGGTGGTGTCCTCTCCGCTAAACGTCGGGCTTCTTCTGTCTCACACTTCCATGGAATTTTTATTTGGATCCCCTTATTCCTTTTGTTTAATAATAGTATTTACTGGAAAAGTTATTGTGTGTGTCTGGATTCTTTATTCGATTCCCTTTGTTTTCGTATTTCCTGTTGTAACTGCCCCCCCCCCGCTGAACTGGGACTAAAAATTCTCAGAAAGGGATTCTCAGATTTTCAGATAAACATAGCCGCATCGCCCCAGTTTTAGAGTCAGTTCAAGACAGAACACATTTCTGGATCAAATTTTGTATCCAATTGAGATTAAATTGTACCCCTCACCCAAGCAGTCCTTCCCAACCTCATTTCAGAAGAAGGAGGAGAAGGAGGAAGAGGGAGGAGAAAAAGAAGAGGAGGAGGAGGAGGAGGAGGAGGAGATTGGATTTATACCCCGCCCTTCGCTTCCCAAGGGAGTCTCAGAGTGGCTTACAAACTCCTTTCCCTTCTCCTTCCCACCACAGACACCCTGTGAGGTAGGTGGGGCTGAGAGAGCTCTGACAGAAACGGCTCTTTTTCAAGAACAGCTCTTATCAGAACTACGGCTTGCCCAAGGTCATCCAGCAGGTGCAAGTGGAGGAGTGGGGAATCAAACCCGGTTCTCCCAGATTAGAGTCCACGCACTTAACCACAACACCAAAATAGGAGAAAGTACCTCACCAAAGACTCCTGAGTAAACCTAGCATTTACGGGATAAGAGGGCGGGTTCTCTTATTGATTAAAAACTGGTTAAATAACCGGAAGCAAAGAGGGGGAATCAGTGGACAGTTCTCACAATGGAGGGAAGTCAGCAGCAGGGTCCCATACAGATCGGTATTGGGACAGGTACTATTTAATGTTCAACCGGAGGCTGGATGGCCCTCTTTCGGATATGTTGTAGGTATGTAGGGCTGTCTTTCAGCTATGCTCCTGCAGAGTGCAGGGGGTTGGACTAGATGACCTGCAAGGTCCCTTCCAACTCGAACATTCTATGATTCTATGATTGTCTTGCTCTGGTTTGCAAGACGAGATCCAATGGGTGGAAATCACAAGGGAGTCGTTACCGGCTAAATATCAGGAGAAACTTCCTAGCTGTAAGAGTGGTTGAGCAGTGGAACAGTCTGCCTCGGGAGGGGGTGGATGCTCCTTCGCTGGACGTTTTCAAGCGGAGGCTGGACGACCCTCTTTCGGGTATGTTGTAGGTATGTAGGGCTGTCTTTCAGCTATGCTCCTGCAGAGTGCAGGGGGATGGACTAGATGACCTGCAAGGTCCCTTCCAACTCTAACATTCTATGATTCTATGACCTCAAAAGTCCAGAGCCAAGAAAGAGAACACCTTCCATGGCATTCCCAACATGCCCAGGGCTCCAACTGGAGCAAGTCGACCGCTTGATTCCCGGCACACTCTTGCCTCAGCAACTTGCCCTGATCCTTCCAGGAATCCTGTTTTACGCCTCCTGGGGGAGAAAGGAACGTGAAGCAGACCCCGTATTCCATGTGATGTCATACTGCTCGCAAGCTGATTGGATGGGACAGGGACCCTTCCATTTTGTGATGTCAAGAGCCCTGAAAGAATGCGGTGGAGGCAGCAGCACCTGGAGTCACTAGGAGAATGAGATGGCTGCTCCTCCTATTTCTGGTCCTGAGCCATTGCTGGCCCAGCCGTGCCATTGTTAACACCTGCGAGTAAGTGACAACCAAAGCGTTGCGCCAAACGGCCAAGGAGGGCCTCTGTCCTCCATAGTAGCAAGTCCAGTGCAAGGAGGTGTCCCTTGGAACGATGCCTATCGAGGGGGAAAGAGGCTACAGGTAGAGCAAGGAGCATGGTGTTGTTGAACTACAAAGCACCCTATTACTTGGAGAAGATGGGTGTGGGGGGGGTTTCTGCAGATGCAAGGGGGAGACCGCGTAGAGAGGTGGCATCTGCCCAGCTATGAGCTGCCACCGGATCCAGGCCCACATTTGAACATGCAGATGGAGGTAGGTGAGCGGTGAGTGCGTAAGAGGGGCTACAGACCAAGTGATGCCCTGGAGAGAAGAGAAACGGTCTAAGAGAACGGCCTCGACCCAACAGTGTCTCAGGATAGAGTCTTTACGAGGAAAGGCTGAAAGAGTTGGGTCTGTTTAGCCCGGGGAAAGAGAAGGCTTAGAGGGGACATGATTTCAGCCTTCAAGTACTCTCCAGGCACTCCAAAGGGATCTGTCAAGGATGGGCAAGTGGGCGTCAACATGGCAAATGGGGTTCAATGTGGCCAAGTGCAAGGTGATGCACATTGGAGCCAAAAATCCTAAATATAAATACACGTTGATGGGGTCTGAACTGGCAGAGACTGATCAAGAGAGAGATCTTGGAGTTGTAGTAGATAACTCACTGAAAATGTCGAGACAGTGTGTGACTGCAATAAAGAAGGCCAATGCTATGCTGGGGATTATTAGGAAGGGCATTGAAAACAGATCAGCCAATATCATAATGCCCCTATATAAATCAATGGTGCAACCTCATTTGGAATACTGTATGCAGTTCTGGTCACCACACCTTAAAAAGGATATTATAGCTTTGGAAAAAGTGCAGAAAAAGGCAACTCGAATGATAAAAGGGTTGGAACACTTTCCCTATGAGGAAAGGTTAAAGCACTTAGGGCTCTTTAGCTTGGAGAAACGACGACTGAGGGGTGACATGATTGAGGTTTACAAGATTATGCATGGGAAAGAGCAGGTAGAGAAAGAGGTACTTTTCTCCCTTTCTCACAATACAAGAACTCGTGGGCACTCCATGAAATTGCTGAGCGGTCGGGTTAGAACAGATAAAAGGAAGTCCTTCTTCACCCAAAGAGTGATTAACACTTGGAATTCACTGCCACAGGAAGTGGTGGCGGCTACAAGCATGGATGGCTTTAAAAGGGAATTAGATAAGCATATGGAGCAGAGGTCCATCAGTGGCTATTAGCCACAAGGTATAGATAGGGGCTCTGGGACAAGTGATGCTCTGTCTTCTTGGTGCTTGGGGGGGGGGTCAACAGTGGGATGGCTTCTAATGTCCTGGCCCCACTGGTGGACCTCCTGATGGCACTGGTATTTCTGGTCACTGTGTGACACAGAGTGTTGGACTGGATGGGCCTTTGGCCTGATCCAACATTGGCATCTCTTATGTACTTATGTTCTTAAGTATTTGAAGGGCTGTCATGTAGAAGATGGAGCAGATCTATTCTCTCTTGCTCCGGATTGCAAGACTAGATCTAATGGGTGAAAATTGCAAGGGAGTCGTTACCAGCTAAATATCAGGATAAACTTCCTGACTGTCAGGTTGGGCAGTGGAACAGACGGCCTGGGGAGGTGGTGGATGCTCCTTCGCTGGACGTTTTGAAGCGGAGGCTGGACGACCATCTTTCGGCTATGTTGTAGGGCTATCTTTCAGCTATGCTCCTGCAGAGTGCAGGGGGTTGGACTAGATGACCTGCGAGGTCCCTTCCAACTCTGACATTCTATGATTCTAAGCCCAGGAATGATGCAACACAAAACACAGAGCTGGGTCATTTTGTACAGCACAAAGATGAGCCATCTCCAGGAAGGATGTGTGGAACAGACCACTGGTCACAGCTTAATATTTATCCTGTTTCTTTCTAGCATTTGCGGAAGACGTCCCTTGGTGTCAAAGCATGGCAGTAACATGCAGGTTGAGGGCGGGGTCGATGCCGCGCCAGGCGCTTGGCCCTGGGTCGTCAGCCTGCAGTTGCCAACGCAGACGGGGCACAAACACACCTGCGGAGGCTCCCTCATCACTGCCCAGTGGGTTCTTACTGCAGCACACTGCTTCCAAAATAAAAGGTAAGGGGAGACACTGGCGGGGGGGTGGCTCCCGTGCCGCACACATCAATTACTGCTACTGCGACCACATTGCCGGGGATGCCTTGAACACTGGGCACTGAGGAATCTGAAAATTAATCCTGATAAGATAGAGGTTCTCTGGGTTGGTGGAAATGGCAGACCTGGTACTTGAGATACCTCCAGCCTTGGATGTGGTTATCATTCAGGGCCAGATGAATTGCATCCAAGGGTAGTAAAAGAACTTGCAGATGTAATTTATGAACCTCTGTCCATCACTTTTGAGAATTCTTGGAGAACAGGTGAGGTGCCAGAAGATTGGAGGTGGGCAAATGTTGTCCCCATCTTCAAGAAGGGGGAAAAGGAGGATCCAGGTAACTACCAATACATCACCTTGATGTCTATACCTGGGAAAGTTTTAGAACAAATTATCAAACAGTCAGTCCTTGAGCATTTAGAAAGGAAAGCTGTGATCACTAAAAGCCAGCATGGGTTTCTCAAGAACAAGTCATGTCAGACTAACCTTATCTCTCTCTTTTTTTTTAGAAAGTCGTACTACCTTGCTGGATCAGGGGAATGCTTGTAGACATAGTTTATCTTAATTTCAGTAAGGCTTTTGATAAAGTTCCACATAATATCCTTGTTGACAAAATGTGGATTGGATCCTATGGCTGTTAGGTGGATCTGTAATTGGTTGACAGATTGCACCCAAAGAGTGCT